CCGCGCCGGGGCGGGCCTGGCTCTCACCCGCTCGGCTCGTGCTGGACGGTTAAGGGGCCGGCGCGGGCAACGCGGCTTGGCGAGCCCCGGTGACCAGAAAGCCGGCCGCGTTTTGATGAGGGAAGGGCTCAAGCTGGGCTTAGGTGCTCAGCAGCTGTGTTACATAAGGCAGCCTAAGCAGTTCCTGCCTCTGCGCTCCTTGTGGTAAGCTAAATGAGGAAAGTGAAGCAGCAGAAATGCAGCATAACTGAACAAACAAACTAAAAAAAACCCAGCTCTTGACGAGTTTAATTAACTAGATTCACTACTTGGCTGTGTGAGTGGTGGTAGAGGCACCAGCACCCCGAGGAAGAGGCCCGAGGCTGGGAACAAGCAGCTCATACTGCTCAGGTTGTTCCTAACAACAACAAAGAATCAGTCGAAGTGATGCTGCGTGCTGAGCGTTTGCCTGAGATTAAAAGTAGCTGGGGTTGGTCAGTGAACTGTGCACACACTGAGCTGCAGCGTTGAGCTGTGACGCTGTGTCTCATCTCTGGTTGTCTTGTTTGCAGCATTTTGATGACCTATGATCACATAGAAATTTCCTTCAGCGATATTGAGCCTATGCCAGATGCCTTCAAAGGGACCAAGAAGGGGAGTGTTTTCCTGACTCCCTACCGAGTAAGTAGTAAAAGGCATCATCTTGTGTAAGGAGACAGTATCTCTTTGCAGTTTTGTATTTAAGGGCCCTCAGTGCATGAAAGTTGGGATAATCTATTGCCTCTTGAGGTCTGGCTCATCCTCTCCTTCCGGGGAGCCTTGGGAATTAATTGCTTGTCCAATCTATTTGTCAAATGATGGAAAAATCAGATTAGTGCTGGTACAGGCAGATGTTCAGGCTATCAGGCATCTCCAAAATTGGAAATTAGCAGTGGCCTGGAAATGCTGTATGTAAGTTTGGCTACTAAATCATAGCTCTGTGTTGCTGCGAGTTCTCTAGAAGTTGGGAGGGGTAATATCTGAGCAAGTGCAATGTTTCTAGAAGGCACTGTCTTACACTGAAGCTTTAGTTTAGCCTCATTGCTGTTTGCTGGAGTTTGGGGCTTGGGAATTACCTTCACTACACTGAAATCTCTTTGCAAATGAGTTCAGTTGTGTTTGCTGCTTGTTTTAAGTACACTCATGATGGTCTTTTCTTTTTAGGTTATCTTCGTCTCAAAGGGGAAGGATGCTATGCAGTCTTTCATGATGCCCTTTTATTTGTTGAAAGATTGTGAGATTAAGCAGCCTGTCTTCGGAGCAAATTATATCAAGGGTACAGTGAAAGCAGAGGCAGGAGGTAGGTACTATCCAGATGTGCATTTGAACTATAAAATTGAGAGCATCTAATTCATGGTGAAGTAAATACCCAGTTTGACCCATACTGGATGCTGACCAGATGGATCTTTATGTTCCTGCTAAAATGTGTTCCTTTCTTCAAAACCACAGTAGCTAAAAATATTGCCCTTGTCTGCTCCCTGGACAGATACAATGAAGAGATCTGTTCAGTCACTGATCTCATTCCTGCCCTCTGTACAAAATACTAAGTTCATTCAGCCAAGTGTTCTCACTGACTGAACAGCAGGGCAGAGACCAGACCGTGTCAGCAAGACTGAGGATGTCATTTAGTTTTGGTCATTTTTGGGTTATCTATTAATTCTGCATCCAGATCCTTCCATGCCGAACACTTTTGATTCTGTCTGGGTTCTACGTTGGTTTTCAGATGCAGATTTTTAGAGCATTGTTCTGTGTTATTAGTTTCTTGTACAGTTCAAGGGAAGGCATATATTGTCATAGAATATCCTAACAGTAAAAATAACATTTTTGGGGGGATAAAGAAAAGGCTATTTTAAAATTAGGGAGTCATCAAAGGGTGGTTTCTTACTGTGTTCAACAAGAAGGGAGGGATAGACTTTTCTAAGAAGAAAGGTATGTTATCACTGTCTTATGTTCCCTTCTTGATTTCTTTTTCTATTACGTGGCACTGAAATCACAGTACAGTGCTTAGGAAAGCACAGTCTGTAATCCTAAAAAATCGGCATTATAGCTTCCGTGCAGGATGAAAACAGGACAATCCAGCACAAGAGGCAACCCAAGCAGTGAGGACAAATTGGAAACGGTGTGAAAGCCAAAAGGTTTTAGCTAAATCTCCAAGTCTTCCTCAGAAGCTCTGTCCTTTAATGAGGATGTTGCTTCAACAGTTACAAGTCTGCTTAAGCTCAAAGGGCTCTTTAATCTACATGTCCCTATTTCAGCACTGGTGGAGCTCCTGCTTTGATGCATTGTTGGGGCCTCTAGACTGTGCATGTTCTTTTTCTTTTAGTCTGAAATATGAGAGGCTGCTAATTTTTTATTATCCTAACTTGAAATACCTTCTGTGGACTCCAGTGGATTTGTGTTCCATGTTTTTCATTAAGCTGTTTGCTTCGTTGGGCACTCAGAACTCCCAAACTAATTTAGAGCTGACAGTTAGGTGTAGCTACGAAGGCTTTCTAGCAAACGGGATTAACAAAATCCCCATCTTCTGCACTAATCTTATACAAAGCAGAGCAAATCCAGTGCTCTTGATAGCTCGGTCTATCAGCAGCTGCTGTGATAACAGGCACAACTTCAGAAAGCTTTTGAATGATTCCCTCATTGAGGTTTCTTCTTGAGGTGTCTCTTGACCTTAAAAATATTCTCTAATATGAATTTTTCTGATAATACTGTAAATCTCCTGCTTTATCTACATTTTTTTTCCCTGGATATTTGGAATAAACCTTTTTAACACATTGTACAGGAGGGATCTGCAGGTAAAGCAGTAGCCTAAGCAGAAGCCTAAATATTATTAAGAAGGATCTTTAGCATTCTCACTTCTGAATTCTCCCTCTCCTTGCAGGTGGCTGGGAAGGATCTGCCACTTTCAAAATGACCTTTTCAGCTGGGGGTGCTATTGAATTTGGACAGCGAATGCTGCAAGTGGCATCTCAAGGTATGGGAGTCTAGTGGTGCCTGACATAGAGCTTTGTGGTTTCAGGAGCACCACTAGGCAAGAAGTTGGGTGTCTGAAATCCATTTGAATTTCAAGCTGCTTGCTTTTTTTTGTTTTTTTTTGTTTTTTTTTTAAAAAAAGACTTTTTTCTGAGCAGTGGATTTGTTAGGGTAGAGTTTGTTTTTTTTCAAATAAAGACTCTTTGAGTTTGGGGTTTTAGCCACAGAAGGCTCACTTGGACTGGGTTTGATGCAGGGGTAATGTTCTCGTGTGATGAACTTCTCTTTACTTTTCCAGCCTCCAGAGGTGAGGTGCCCAATGGAGCGTATGGCTACTCCTACATGCCCAATGGATCCTATGCTTTCCCACCTCCTGCAGCTAATGGGGGCTATCCTTATCCACCACCTCCTCCTGGTACGTTTGGGAACCAACAACAGGAATTTTTCCACTTAGCAACAGTTAAGAATAGCTAAAGGGGAAGAAATACAATTTTTATGTCTTTTACGCTAGATTTTGTACATAGTTTTGTTCCTGAGCTTAAGTGTATTTGCCTTAGGGCTGTGTGTTGTAATGTATCCAACGCTGCTAATCCTTCTGCCGTGCTGTTTCCTTTCCTGACAGAGTTTTATCCTGGCCCCCCGATGATGGACAGAGACATGGGTTACATGCAGCTCCCACCCCCGCCGTACCCGGGGCCCATGGAGCCTCCTGTTGTCAGTGCTCCAGACCTGCCTTCCACTCCGGCGGGTAAGGAACGTTCGACTGGCTGAGCCACAACTGCTGCAGGATGCCGGGGGTATGGGCACTGCAGAGAAGTTGGCAGGCGTTTGCTCACCACTTCTTGACAACAGCTGTGCAAAAATGTAGAACAGATCCTTGTTTGTGGTACTGATGATGGTGAGCTGTCGATGCTGTGCTCCAGAAAGTCATAGTTGCGTTAGTGCCTTTCAGGGTTCATGTCCTCAGTCTCTTAGGGAACTTCGAGCCAAGTTAGAAGCTCTACTTAGAAGTTATAATCATTTAGGAGAGGTGGATTAAGGTGCTCCCCTAATCCCTAACCTTGTGTGTTCTGCTCAGTCTGGAGGCCAACCTGATTCTTTCCAGTTTGAGTATCATCAGAGGATGTTTTGCAGCTGGCTTTATTCTTAAAAAAATTAACGTTTGTATTTTCCTCTGGAGATTAAAAAAAAAAAAAAAAGTGGAATAGGTTTCTACTCTGTTTTAGTTAGCAGATGATGTGACTTTCATGATATTGGACCTCCCAGTCTCTTTAAAGAATATGGAACTGAGAAATAGACAGTGAAAAGGAATTGGAGAAAATTGAGTCTCATCACTCATTTGGGATTTATCAGAATGATTTGGAACATGATCCTAAAAGACTCTGCATGGGTAAAAAAGGCAAGAAGTGTTTCTACTCTGTTTTAGTTAGCAGATGATGTGACTTTCATGATATTGGACCTCCCAGTCTCTTTAAAGAATATGGAACTGAGAAATAGACAGTGAAAAGGAATTGGAGAAAATTGAGTCTCATCACTCATTTGGGATTTATCAGAATGATTTGGAACATGATCCTAAAAGACTCTGCATGGGTAAAAAAGGCAAGAAGTTGACTTTTGTGGTTGGGTAGAACCATAGGCCTCTATTTTAAGGACATCACTCTGGGTAAGGACCTAGCTTGTCTCTTCAGTTTGAATTAACAACCAGTCAGCTTTGAACTATTATTTAGAAAATGGCTTGCATAGGGGATCTGGATTAGCCGCATAAATTACCTTTTTTTAAGTCTTAACTCCCTGAGCAGCTATCAACTTTTGTTTAAAAAAAGCCCCAAACTATCGGAAAAGATGTTTTGTTGACTGCCTCAACAGAGCAGCTGAAAGTATTTATTCCTTGGCTAACAAGAATCCCAGGTGACATTTCCAAACTAAATCTTGGTCTGCTTCGCTTGTGACTAGACAAGGCTTTGGCAACTAAATCTCTACTCTTTACTACTTGGAAAAGATTATGCCAGATTGCCATGTTTTGTCATAGCTATTTTGCAGCTTGAGTGTTGGTCAAAGAGCTCTCCAGCTATCACACTTGTTAGACTGAAAAACGAGAAGTTTTTGGTTATAAAAATTCTTCCCATTGCTGAGTGTTTAACTTTTGTGCTTCTGTGACAGCTGAAGCGAAGGCTGCCGAAGCAGCTGCCAGTGCTTACTACAGCCCAGTCAACCCACATAACGTCTATATGCCCACAGTAAGTTCCTGTATCTTCCTTTTTGCAATGTGAGCCCGTGTTGCCTGGAAAGGAGGCCCATGTTTCCATCAAGATAGCTGATCTCTCCATAAATGTAACTTCATCAAGATTTCCTATTCATAAGCAAATAAGAATTGTGCAAGTAGCAACAGTTTTGGAGGTGTGTTAGCAGTTCTTTTTATTCAATGGCAAAGCAAGTTTTTGTTTGTTTGTTTTTTTTCGTTTTTTGTTGGTTGGTTGATTGGGTTTTGAATGGATTTGTTTAATCATAGCCATGAATTGATGTTCTCTTTTGTCTTTTTTCCAGGACCAGCCACCCCCTCCTCCATACTTCCCACCAGAGGACAAGAAAAACCAATAAGATAACTCGGAACTTCTCCACAACTCATTGCTTTCTTACTTCCCATTTTGGCTGAATCTTGGGACGTGGTTCATAGCAGAAAGGATTGGAGCCTTCCCTCAAGGCACATAGCTCTCATGGACAGGGGTGATGGATATGCACAGAGGAAGAGATTTAAGCAGCCTGGGTTACCTCGTAGAGCTCTGAGGGTTTGCTGTCCTCCTGCACTATTCCTTTCTCTCTGTGTGCAGCAACACTAGTGCTGGAGGTTCTCTTCCTCTGTGATCACTTCCCTTGCATCCATTTCTTTTGATACTTCATATATACCTTTTTGGAATAAGCAATTGCTTCAAATTTGTCAATTAACAGGCTCATAACATGGAATCAAGACTCTCAGTGTCTTGAATTTATCTTAGTGTACAGCCAAGAACATCCCTGGACATTGGGATGTCTCTGGGTATTCCTCTCAACCTAGAGTATTGCATCTAATTTTCCCCTCTGAGAAAGGGCTTCAAAGGGAACCTCTGGGAACTCAAATTGTTATCCATTATTTTTTCCTTTCACTTCAGAAAAGTCATTCCTTACAGTTGCAGGAAATAATCTGGTAACCCTCCAGCTTTTCCTGCTGTGCACTATGACAATGCAGACAAAGCTTCCTTTTTTTTTTTTTAAGAAAATGTACCGCCCTTTGCAGGACTGTTTAGGACATCTAACTAGTTATTGATCACCTGGGAACACTAATTTTCTGTTGTTTCTTTTTTTTTTCCAAGTTACATATATGGGTTCAAGCTCGCTAAGCCCTGAACCCTCTCTTTAGAGCCACTAATGCACCTTTTATTTTTCTCTCTGCTGTAACTTAAGTTACACTTCTTGGCCAGTGAAGCATCTTACTGCTGTGATTTAACTGGTGAATTAATAGCTAGTGGGGGGAAATAATTTCTCTGCTTTTACCCAGGAAGCACTTGACAGAATATGCAAAACACTGGAGTATGCTATTAGGTATAATTGAGCCATTCCTTTGAGTTTTGTTTAACACTGTTAGTGTTCTTGGATCAGCTATGAATTCACTTCTCTGTAAATTGGGCTCCTTGAAATGGGGGTTCAAGCATCTTCCTTCCCTAACCCTTGTTCATCAATCTCCTTAGCAATGACTGTAGTATTTGGAACCTCCGCGAGACCGGTCAGTAACCAGGTTGTGAAGCTTGCACTGTAAAAAGCTTTGCCTGCAAATCAGATTTCACTGTCCTGGCAGTGTCTGTGGGAGATAAAATCCTTCCCAGCAAGTGTCAAGGAAGATCATGTGCTAGGGAAGCTTGCTGAGACTTAACTGCATGCAGCCTGCTTGGAGAGAAAAAGGTTCACCTCTCGTTTCCTTTTTGTTTGAGTCTAGCTGATTAATCAAAATGCTACTCTGTGCACTGATTTTTCTAGAATTGCTACTGCAGTGATGTAAAGAAATGGTTATTTAAAAAGAGTATTTATTTTGAAAATGTTTGATTAATATATTAATGTGAAATGACTTTTGAATGCAATTTGTTTTGCCAAGACTGTGAAGTAAAGAGAAATCAGTTCAAAACTTAGGATGTTTGTGTGTTTGTGTGTGAACAGGTAAACCTGATGGTGACTTGGTAGCTTTTGTATTGGGTGGCGAGGGAGAAATTAGCAGACAGCAAAATCATTTGGCAAAGTAGAATTTTGTTCTTGGCTTAGCTATTCATTTGTGACTTTGTATTAGTCACTTACTTCTCTTGACTTCCCCTTTCGTTGTGAAATGAAAACAGGACTTGAGGCACATGGAAGGTACTCGGAAGCTGCTCCAAAGCTGATGTCCAAACTCCACTCGGCTTCAGGCTTCTCCTAAGCTGCCACCTTAACACATTGAAGCTCCCTGATCAACTGGGCTGGCAACCCTCCAGATTCCACCCTCCTGCTATGTTGTATTTGGATCTGATCTCCCAGATACTGCTTTTATTTAATTTGAAGGCTGGCTGATCCACTTGGGTTTATTTTCCGTAGCAAGAGATGGGTGGAAAAGGAAAGCATTAAGATGTTACAGCACAGGGAGAACCTAATAAATCCTATTTTGTGAATTAAATTACTTCAAAACTAGCAATAGCTTGTACCAGTCATGATGATTTCTTGAATTATATCTGTCCAGCTCCAAGACCCTTCAGAAAACTGCTGTGGCTCTGAAACTGTTTCATATTGCAGGGCTCTGTTTTGCAGTGTTCTCCCTCAACTCCAAGACAGATAATCTTAGAAAATAGAGTCAGCGCAAACTTCCCAGGTCTCCTGCCCAGCACCGCTTTCTGTGCAGCTCTGAGGCTAGCAATCAATGCAAACCATGAGATTTGTTAAAGCTTTCTGCAACCAGGGGCGAGAGAAGAAGCTTTTAGATACCTGCTTTGATGAGAACTTGGCTTCACTGTTCAAGGGGAGTTGCAGTTTCCCTAGTGCAGGCACATGGTAAGGTGAGAGACCATGCTCTTTGCTGCTAAAAATGAAGGTGTTTTAGAAGGCTGGGTCAGGATGGAAGAAGGCGAATGCTCCTTTGCGTAACAAGGGTGATAATGAGCTAAATGAGTGGCTCTTGAGCTGCAAGCTTTTTTTACAGTGGTTTGTGGGTGAATGTCCCTGATCATCTAGGATGAGTTTTGGTGCGTTGGATGGGGAGGTGAGAAGGGCCAAGTCAAAAAGAACAGCTCAGTCGTGGTCATCCCAGGAAGTCTGGAGTACCTTGGGGGAAAGCAAAGCACGTGGCAGGAATGATAAAGAGATGGGGCCAAAAGCCTGGGCAAGTGGCACAGCTGGAAGGGCTCGGACAAGGTAGGGCACTGAGTGGAGCAGTGCAATTTAGGAGGGTGCAGGTTTGGGCCAGTTGGATGCTGCTTCCCTTGCTGAGATCTGCGTGAAGAACATGGATCTGGCTCAGATATTCGGCACTCCTCATCCTCTCCTCTCCCTGATGGGATCAATGAGCTCTCTTGGAAAATAGCCTTGATACACTAGAAAGAACCCCCAGTCCTCCTGCCCATGTACAGGGGAAGATTTTAAATGCTAAAATAATGAAGTGCTGTTGAAAGTCTGCCCCTGCTCTGCAAGTGGGGATGAGGCAGGCAGAGAGGGCAGGCATTAATTCATCTCCATATCTAGTTGCAGCTTGAATGTTTAATCAGTTCTTATGCAGCAGTAATGCTGTCATAGGAAAGCTAAATCAATACTATTGAGTGCAGTATTTGGACAGCATTATGCTTTATTGATCTGCATAAAGATAAATTTATCTAATAAAAGAAGGGCATCTGGAATGATTAAATTGTTGAAGCCAGTAAATCTTTTAGCATAAAGATTTTTCCTACTAATGCCTACAATAATGTCTTCTCAAACTGACTTGGGCTCTTTATTTGAGAAGTCTGACCCGTAGCCTTTGGGCCGGCTCCCTGCTCCGAGCACAGGGCTGTTTCCCTGCTTCACTGGGCTGTGGTGAAACCAGCTCTTTCTAAAGGGCTTTGAGATCTTATGCAAAAAGCTGTTGCTGCAGGAATGGTAGGTGCTCATTGCAAACTTCCTGATGGAGCCCCATAGGGCTTGACATCCCCTGTGCCTTTGCTCTGCGAGGACAGTGCTTGAAAACGCTTGTTCAGGAACGTCTATAGCCTAGGAAAGAAGTCGCATCATTCTTGTCCACACCGAGGCTTTACCTAGAGCACTCCACCTGTGCACAACCCATCCTAAAAAAATCAAAGCCATTTGATCAAAGCCAAAGCCATTAGTTGGCACAAATTCCCTTCCAGCCGAGGAGATGCATTAAACTGTCCTTGGGACCGCGGTGAAGCAGAGCTGGCCGGCTGCCCACCCCGCGTGTGGTTTCCTTCAAGGGCTGCCAGCTGCTTTGCCATCAGCAGACAGTCAAATAAGCCATCGATTGCCTCTCCACCGTGCGGGGACACTGATTTACGAGCCACAACGTTGCCTTTGCAAGCACAGGGGGAGGTGGCAAGAGGCGCGGGGCGAATCCCGGGCCGAGTCCCTCCCAGAGCAGCAGCAGCGGCCGGGAGCACCCGGAGCCTCTCCAGCCCCCAGGTAAGCGGCTGCCGAGTGGTCGTGTCCACCGTAAATAACTCCCGAGTGGGCAGGAGACGATGGTTTCGATAACACCGGCTGTGACCAAGAGGTGATTGCAGGTTTCAAGCTTTACGAGCAAATAGGGGACCTTGCTTTTTTATATGGCTTGGTTAAAAATGCTGGGGCATGTGGGGCAGAGCTGCGGGTTCAAGGCAAGGGTTTTTCTTGCAGTCACGTTGGGTGTTTCCCGTCTGCTGTTCTGTGACTCAGCTCATGGGACTCGACTGGAAACGGGTATTTCTGCACCTTCCTTGCCCAGGCACTGCCTGGCTGAGAGAGGCCGCAGCGGGATGTGAAAAGCCCAATGTAACTGT